AAAAAAAAAACAAGAAAAGTAGAAGAAGAAAAAGAAGGGGAAGAAACCTTGCAGAGAGTTCTAGGGAACTCGTGACATGGCCGACAAGTGAAGTTAATCCAGACCGGCTTTGTAATGTTCTTTATTCGTTCGTTGTCAATGACAGGTCGTCGACGATAAAAGGGAAACACGCGGAAAATCCAAATCTGGATGGACACGTCCAGGAAGAGGAGTACGATTTCGTCGCGCATCGTCCCCCGCGACCGTTGACCTCGTACGAAGTCATTTTATTTCATTTCTAATTGAATGGAATTATAAACTTCGTCTCTAATAATATGGTATCTCTAGTCGAGTTTAGTTTAATCGAATAAAATTGAATTGTTCAATCTCATATGGCCTCGAATGAAATCAAATGGACATATGGCCCTGTTTTAACATCACTGCGCAACTCACTGATCGATGCGACTGTAAAAAACCACTTTCAGAGATTTTGCCACGTTCATGCATCTGTGTAAAGCTTCGATCGGCACCGGCATACTTTTCCTGCCGAATGGCTTCCGAAGAGCTGGCTACGTAATGTCAGTGATCTGCGGCGTTGTTATTGGCCTATTGTGCACTCACACTGTGGTAGAATTGGTAAGTAGCTTGATTTGGACTGCCAAAGAGAATGAAAGTGGACGGACTTTTGCGTAATAATCAATTAGCCGAAACGATTACGCGAGCGATTGTATAATCGCGTGGAAATAATTAAATGTACTGATGAAGCCAGGCAGTGATTATCCTCTGAGTGAAAGCTGGGCATATGTAGATCATTCTTCCTCAATTTGACGTATTCGAACGTGTTGAACGAATCTGAACAAATGTTATCCAATGTAATTTAATTTATTTATTTATTTGTTTCGCTTGTACAACAAGCATAGCAGTCTGTTGCAGTAGAATTGGGAATTTTCTTCGAGAAATTATCACAGATTATACAGATACATTCTAAATTGAATTCTTGTCATTTGACGATCAAGCAATGAAATAAATTCGGAAAGATTCATCATTAAAATTAATTTCCAAGCTATTATCATTTCCAATAAATGCCGAGTAGTTTCAAAAAAAATCACACGACGCTTTGACAAAACGGGCTAAAAACGAATTCTCTGAACGCAGGTACGATCAGCTCAGATACTCTGCAGACGCAATCGCATACCGATGCTGGATTTCGCGGGAACGGCGGAGGTCTCCTTTCAGAACGGTCCACCGGAGCTTCGAAAGTACGGGAAAACGTTTGGCATCACGATCAACGTGATCGTCTGTTTCGTCCATTTCCAGGCCAGCGTGATATACATCCTTTACGTGGCCACTTCGTTTCAGCAAGTGAGAAACGAGTCGTGAGGGCCATTTTCTATTTACGAAAGCACCGGGGTTTCCTTTTCAAAGTGTTGCTTTGCAAAATTCCATTACATATGTTATATATAAATTTCATTATATTATTATATTATTACAAGCTTTCACCTTCTAATTCAATGAACTACACACGTATAAT